AAAGTGGATATAATTTGTTAAAACAGGAACCCTGTAGGGAAAGTAGTTTTGTGTTGTCAACAAGAAACAAATGAAACCCTTTGAAATGAGTTCTTATTTGGAGATAATATGTTTAAAACCAGCTAGATGTAAATGTGTTCAAACTTTGTGAATGTGAAATGGGCACTGAGAAATAATAGTATAGTCCAGGATGTAATACTTGGTTTTATGAAATGCTATTTAAGAACATTTTCTAATATAATGAGGAAAAATAAAAAAGTCCCTTGAAGATATACAGATTTGAGCAGTTATAGCTGAGTCCCTCGGGTAATGATAAAATTCAATATTTTCTTTAAATGCTATTGTTCAAGTAATGAAAATCTGTAATTTAAAACTGTTATAGCTATATACTTTGCCTTGTTCTTTCTGCAAGAGCCATGCCCACTATCTTAGTTGCAGGAGTTACAAGGCTTTCCTGAATCCCAAATAACTTCATTTACTTTTCTATTTTTCTTCTACAGAGTTGACATACACCTGGAATATATTAAAATATGTCTTATGCTGAATTTGGTTACAAATTCATTCCTTGTGTTAGTGTTTTCTAGGTAAGAAGTATGATTTAATTTGAAAAGTACAGGAGTTAGGATTCGCAGGACCAAAGGTGAAATTCAGTCTCTGTATCTTTCCAGCTGTATACACTTGGACAAGCCAGGTACCACAGACACTCCAGTTTCTTCATCCTTGAACAGAGCATTATTAACAATGTCTGTCTATCTCATAGGGCAATAGTACTTTGACAATCCCTCAAATACAAATGTAAAGTGATTATGCACACAGTCTCCAACATAATGATAGTTTGAATTACTTTTTTTCTTTATAATGGTGCAAGAGCCACATGAATTCAGCAGAAATCAGTCTTCAAATTTTGAATTTTGATATTTTCCTGAATGTGATTCTCTTTTGTGATGCCAGCTGCAAGACTCAGTCATGGGGTATACAAGAAATTCTCTACAGTGTATTATGTTGCTCAGATCTGGTATTGGGTGGGTTAGAAGTATTAGGTGTATTTTCAGCTTGTGATATTTCAGTTTATGGTGAATTTATAGGGAATTATACTCATTGTAAATTCAGAATCATCCATATATTATAGCACACTATAAAAATTTTAGGCATGTTATCTGATGCCTCCAAAGCTACTATTCCACAGCATGGAGCATATTGTCTTGATATGAATTCCTTAGTAATAATAAATATCCATAGTTTTGGCCATTATAGACATTTCAGGAAGTTAACATTTAACTTGAAGTGTTTTGTTATCATAACATTAAAATAAATGAATGTATTTGTTCTTTAATAATTTCAAAATTTTCTTATTAAAGATACAAATTATTGAAGTAGCACCTGTATTGAAGGATGAAGTTTAAAGGATTGTATTTATATAATTTCACAATTTTTGTATAGATCTATTTATAGATGAAATTTTATGTACTATATCATTTTTTCAATCCCGTTGCTGTAAAAATAATTGTTTTATTATAAACGTATATGTGTTGATCTAAATTTATGTCTTTATGCTCTCTTCAGGTTTCAAACTTTAAAGATCAAACTCTGCAAAATTGCCTAATAAAATATTACTGTTGAGTTTACATTCTTTTAAAAGAAAAACTTTTTGAAATATTTGGAAGTATATTTCTGTATGTAGCTATTTTACTCCCCACAAGTCTCAGATCATCAAAAATTGTCTATATTCCCAAATATTTCAGAATATAAATAAAAATTCTTATAGGCAATGTCTGAAGATAGTTGTAGTTACAACTGGGAAGGGGTAGTACTAGCATCTGGTGGCCAGTGGCAAGGTATACTGTTCGACAACCTATAATACACAGGATAAATCCTGGTTAGGGATGTTAATCATCATTTCAGAAGCCTAGGTAGTACTTGGAGCTATCCGAGTGAGTAGCAGAATCCAAAGAGGCAAATAGAGGTGACCAACTCAAGAAAATACTGTTATACCCGGGTCATGCTGAGAAAGCAAGGCCAGAAAGTAGGACTGAGAGAAGGAATGGTCATAGAAACAAAGAAGAGTCTGGAGAGTGATGCTATGAAAACTAACTAAGAAAAGATTTTCAATTTGAGGGTGGTTATCAGCATTCATAGGGCCCTAAATCATATAAGATGAAAGCTTAATGTATTTGGTGGGTAGGCGAATGGGTTAGATATCTTCCATTTGCCTCACTTTCTTTCTTCAACCTGGTAGTTTAGAAAGACATTTCTTTTTCAAGTGACCTACTCTCAATACAATATTTAGTAAGTTTCTGATCCAGAAGAATGTGAGTGAAGTATATTAGTGGGGATAAACCCGTGGCACATGTGCCGCGGTGGGCTGTTTGTTATTACTGAAGAGTCTAAAAGCTTCTCCATCACTGCTATAGATGAATTGAATCCTGGCTTCTTCATAATTAGCTTCAGTTTACATAAATATTTCTCTAATGTCTTATATTTATGTACTACATAAACCATTTTACTTCATGTATGCTTGTTAATAATAAGTACTATGCAGTCACTGTGACACATGGTTGTAATCTCAGCATTCTGGAAACTAAAGCAGGAAGATCATAAATTTGAGTCCAGAGCAGCCCAAACTTAGTGAGACCCTGTTTTAAATACAGTTTTTAAAAGGAGTGAAGGGATGTAGCCCAGTGTGAAGGCCCTGGGTTCAATCCCCAGTACAATAAATAAATAAATACTAACATATGAATAATACTTGTCAGGCACTGTTCTAAAAAGCTTATGTGATTTACTCATTTTTCTTTTATAGCAACCTAGTGAGAATGTGCTCTCATTTTTCTGTAACAGCAACCTAGTGAGAATGTGTTTTTATTATCCTTACTTCAGAGACAGAAAAACAGGTAGAGCAAAGCTGATTAGTTTTCCCAAGGTCAAAAAATCAGTGAATGGATGCAGATCTAGGTAGTCTGGCATTGTTGCTCAAGATAGCTCATTACCACAACAGGAACACAGACAAACATACAGAAGCCTTTATTCCCTATCGCTTATAAAAGTGCTTGTTTTGTTTAGCTTGAAGGTTCTGATGTCAAGGACACTACATGGCACATTAAATATTATCAGTAAATATTTTGAGAACAAATGAATGAATGAGCTTCTCAGCTGACTGGATAATTTTGCTTTTCCTTACTAATTTTCTTATTGCCTTTAAACTAATGCCTTTGGATTTTCTTTCCAGTTATTGTTTGAGTGGTTTGTTGTGAAACAGAGTATGACATTTTAAACATTTACATTAAAACTTCATTTTTTTGTTGATACAAAATGATTTTTCTACCAAATAAAATACCTTAAGTGTTTATATGAGGAGAGTTTGTAATCCAGGATTTCTGCAGCAGTCAACTCAAATATTCTAGTCAAATCCAGCCTTTTGTGTTACTCTTTCTGATGAGTATTCCATCAAAGCTTCACCCTGACAGCCCTTAGTCACCAACTGCTTATTTTGAGAATGGTTGCTATCATCACTCACTTTCTAAGCAGGTGCCACCTAGTTACTTTTGTTTTGGCAATTATGGGTTAAATACATTCCTGGGCTTAGTCTTGCTTAAGCTTGCTCACTCTCTTTTCTAAATTAAAGAATGGTAGATAATTTCTTAAGAGAGTAAAGCTTTCATTGAACAGAATCTTTCAAAGCATTCATTTTTATCTTATGTTTTACGTAAATGAGTCTTCTTTGAGTGTTTAGCCTTTCTTTTCTGCCTTTTGTTTGCAACATAGCATTACTCTGCAGTTAACACAAATGACTGAAAAGAGCTTATATTTTATTTTGTAAATATTGTTTTCTTTGAGCTGTTTGGCATTCCCTGCTCACTGGCTTGCCACCATTCTTTAAGCACTTCCAGTCCATAGGATTATTGTCAGTCTAGAGAACTGTTAATACTAAGGAAAATTTTGAATTATATTTATGGATGAATTCAGTATTTTGCTGTAGGTTTTAAGTCTTACTAGGTAGATAACTGGGATTAATACATTTTCTAGCCTTTGCTTGATAGGAGAAAACATGTTGAACTATTTTTAAAAGCTCCTTACATAATTATCCTGCATGCCTCCCTCCTAGCTCTTTTTTTCCCATGTGATATGCTTATTGCTCATCAACTTAGAAATATGCCATAGGGTATTTAAACATAGTTCCAAGTTTATAAAGAGAAATTAAGATTTGGAGTTTTAGATACATGTATAAAACAGTAATAGTATGTGAGTGGTTGATCATTGTGATTTGGTCCAAGTAAAAGAAGTCTATCTTACCCTTCTTGGTAGCCTTAATATATACTACAAATAGCAAATCTTGCTCTTTTTCATTCTTCCTTTACTCCTTTTTTTCTGTTCCTTCAGTCAAAATATAGGATTTTGGAGCAAAGGAAGGTTATAAAGCTAAATTTGAAAATGTATTGAACTAAGTGATAAAGACTGAGGGCTGGAGGAGATTTCCTAGAGTAAGGGTTTGAAGAAGTTAGTGACAGATTTTGAAGGCATAGACAGCGTGGTAGACAAACAGGCAGTGTATGATGAAAGCCAGAAGAGACTCAAAAGGGCAGGAGACAGTACACTCCTGACACATGCTTATGGAAGACAGAATAAAGTAAGGAATAAGGATTAGCCATTAAGAACAGGGTGTGGTGATGTATGCCTTAATCCCTGCACTTGGGAGAATGAGGCAGAAAGATTGTTTTAGTTTAAGGGCAACCCAAAATACATAGTGAGACCCTGCTTAAGAAAAAAAAAAAAGAATTAGCCATGTAGTCTTTGACAAGACTACAGCTATAATTAAAGTGCTAGGGACAAAAGCCTGATTGAAGTGGAATGAAAAAATAAGAAGTGAGGGATAAAGATAGTAACTTTAGATATCTTTTTCGATATTACACTATCATAAGGAAAATTAGAGAACTCAGTAGTAGCTGGAAACTTTATAAGTGAGCATATTTTGAATGGTGATGAATTTGTTTAAAAGACAACATAAATATTTATTTAAAATTTATTTAAAAGACAACATAAATAATACAGCATAAAAAAGGGAGAAGGTGGTGCAGAGTGAAAGAGAGCAACTGCAAAAATTATTGCATAGATGAAAAGAGAATTACAGCATCCGTAAAAGAACAGGATCTACAGCACAGCTTGATCAGTTGGCAATAGGTAGCTACATAGACACTTCATCATAACATCAATAGAAATACTATTTACATGCACATTTTAGTCTGGTGATGAAAAGATAGGGTAGGTCTCATCTGGTAACTTCTAGTTTTTCAATAAAATGTGAATAAGATGAAACATTGGCAGTGGGAGGTAGAGGTGTAAAAGGCTTATGGGACAAAAGCTGCAAAACAGTCATTTAAAAGAGTTAGAGTCTAAAACTTGTGACACACATTCTATTTCAACATTAAGGAAAAGGGAAAAGTGTGCTCACCTGACTTAAATACACATCTCCCAGGGCCCCCATTTCTGGGTATTTTTCGCACACCACATCTTCAGTTGTGCACCAAGTTGTTTCAGCTCTCACTCATCAGTATTTTTCTACTCTGATTCAGATATCTGGAAATTTTTTTTATTTTAGATAACTTATGCATTTAAAAACATTTTAAAATTATGTTTTATTTTGCACTTTCATTTTTTGTCTAGGAGGACCGACTTCTATATAGTTTCAAAGGAAATAAACATAGAATTTGTACTTCATTTTTCTGAATCAGCTTCATTGTTTTAAAAATAGGAATTATACCACTTACATGCAGATCTATGTTATTCATTAGACATGCTGTGTATAAAATACCAGATAACCATTGGCAATCATTAAATGTCAGCTGGAATTATTACCACTACTAAGCATTATTCTTTCAGCCAGAAGCTAAGACCATCCTTTCATCCTTTCTAACACATGCATTATTTTTACAGTGTAATATTTCTAAATTTCTTTTATATTGATGTGATCAGAACATAAGACATTTTATTGAACAAAAACATTTTTGTGCTGTGATCCTTACAAAGGTTTGAGGTGCTTGATAATGTAATATTTAAACAACAGTTGACTTCATGTAAAAACTTATTTTCTCATATTTTATTATGTTACAGAAGCAAAATTACAATTAATATATTTTGGAACGAACAGATAAAATATTTCTCTAGGAAAAAACAAGAAATAAAGCTAGCACATAACTTGAAAGGAATTTTGAAAAGCAACATACAAGTATTATCCACATCTTCTTTGTTTACTAATAATATTGCTAAACCTGACAGTGTTTTTGTAATAAAGCATTCTATGAATTTGAGTAACTAATATTAAGAATGCTAATAACACAACTTTAGTATCAATCTTTTTCCCAATTACAACAATCATGTCCATATTTAATATTTCCTAAAGGAATATGGCTACTACCAAAATCAGTGTTCAATGTGTAAAGGATAAATATGGGATACTGATCTAGTGATCTTTACTCAGTATCTTCTTCCATGTTGGTATCCTCAAGGGTATGCATTTCTCTTTCTGGTAGTAATCCATATTCATTTAGGAAAGACTCCACATCCCCAGCAAAAAATTCTTCAGCAAACTGTTCAGTAACACTAATAAAATTGCTTATGAGTTCCCCACCTTTGTAGACAAGCAGTGTGGGAAGTACCTTTAAAGAAAAGCGGTCTCCAGCACCTGTATTGGAAGCTTTTATTTTACAAAATTTGACCATCGGGTATTCTGCTGCAAGGCATGTCAAACTACTGTTTAGAGTATCACAGCCCTTAATGCCATCTTCATAAATGTGAACAACAATTGTGGTGATCTTCTGTTCCTTTTCAATTGTTTCCAGGAATTGCTCTCCAGTTTCTAGCTCATATACAAACCCATATCTAGGCCCAAAACTCAGCTTCTGATGCATATCTTGCATGCACTGTCTCCGATATTTACGAAGACAATCTTCATCTTCTTTGTCTTGATTGATAAGTTCATATTCTTGTATGCTTACCTGAGAATATATGAAAGAAGTTGCAGCGGTTATTCAGTCCAAAATGTATATTTCTTAGTTATAACAAAACCATTCTCAACTCTAGGAGTTCGCATTTTTGTCTGCCCTAACCATCAGCTCCCCACTCCTGGTACAGCTTTCTTTTTCATTCCGTTCAAGTTTTGTTCAAATGTCATCATCGCTGATTATTTAAAAGAACTGACTCTCAACATTCTCTAGTCTACGTACTGTTCTTTTTCTGTAGTAGTTAATATGATCTATGCTTGTGTTATGTATTTGATTGTTTAATATGAATTTTTCTAACTAACATGTTCAGTGGAGGCAAGAATTTTGTCTCATTCATTCATTGTCTACATTTGCTTTATACATGGTACATAGTAGAAGTTCAATAATTTTTTTCATGGTTAAATGCATATAGTAATATATCAGGAATAAGCTTAATCTCAGTGAGAATGCTATTTAACTACCACTTTGCATGAAAAAATCCAGCAAGGTTTTGTGCTAGGATGGCTTTCAGAAAAAAGAAAAAATAATACTAGGCATGTACACACACCTGCACACCTACACATGTCCACACACACGTATTTACATGTGTCCCCATCAAATGCATCTAAACATTAGGGTTCCCTTCACAAAAGCTATTAAAATCTCATAATTTACTTTTTTTTAATGTGTAGGTTGGAAGTCAAAATGACACATTCACTACTATTTAGACTATAGGGGCTAATAATGGGCTAATAATGACTGAAGTAGCAGCAGCATCACCTGAGAACTTGTTGGATATACAGATTTCCAAGAACCACCAGTTCCATTGACTAAGAGCCTGAAAGTGTTAGGCTGAGTAATCCAGGTTTTCAAAGGCCCTCTATATTGTTCATATCCATTGACTTAAGCTAACATGAGAAAGACCTAAATTCCATCTTCCAAGACTACTACTTTTAATTGTGGCCAGAATATAAAATTATTGCCCATGATAATATCTACTCCATTATTGATGTATTCAGTAAAATGTTAAGCATCCCCCAACCAAAATCAAAGCAAAGCAAAACAAAACAAAACACACAGCAAAGGCTACTTGAACATTTTCCATAAGAGACAGTATTAGATATTGAGCACCCCACAGTTGTGGAAGTTCCAATGGGACATATCTGCTGCTGTTTTATTGTCATGTAGCCACTAAAAGAGCAGTAATTATTAAAAGTAGAGAGAAAAAAGCAAGAAACTTATGTTTATGGAAAGCCCATCATATGATAGGCATCTTACATAGATTATATTATTTAATCTTCTCAACAGATTCCTGAGATAGATATGTTAGTCATTTTCTCAAAAAGCTAGTAAGATTCAGTTTAAGTACAATATTTAATGCTTTTTTTTGTTTCTGCATCATGTCTGTTTTCCTTAGTCTTTCTCTTAACCTATATTTCTGTCTTAATATTATTGTCCCTATTTAATTTGCTTTAGCCCTAAAAGTTATATGTTTTGTTCAGTCCTTAAGTTGCTACAATAATTGTTAATGTATAAGACAGGAACACACAAATTCTGATTTGAAGATACATTTGAGCATTTACATGAGAATTTTTTCCCTTCACATAGTCAGTGAATACTTAGATATTTAGGCATTCAGATGCATTTCCAAAGCTTACTCAAGCACAGTATCTTTAATAAGAATGTCTCATGTATGCATGTTGTTTTGTAGCTTGAAACACTTTCATGTTATTTTTTTCTTCACATTTGTTCAAAACAAGTGGGAGACAAGTTCTTACAATTTTTCAAATGGAAAATTTAACAGTCTCATCCACACTGCATACTTGCTAAGTAAAGGAATCAATCTCTGGCCCTTCTCCCACCAGAAATCTTAGACTTGGAGAGTATTGCCATGACCTGAAGCCTCGGAAGATGGCATATTTCTGATTTTATAATCTGTCTGTTGAAAGTCAGTATATGATACATATGCACTGATTTGCAGATAAATAATCACTAAAGTGATTTTTTCTCCACAAATAATTTTTGTTTCTCTTATTATTGTCTTAGTTATATAAATAACAAATGCTAATTATGGTAATTAAAAATGACCTAAAAGCTAAAGAAAGTAAATAGTAAGTACTGAAATTCTACCATTCAGTAGTCAAGGAATTTTCTTTAACATTTTAGAGATGACACAGATATTGTACAACTTAAATAAGTGAGATATTTTTAAAAATAATACTTTTGACAAGAAGTATAAATATCTTTTTTAAAGTAGTAATTTATTCTGCTTACCCCCCCATCTCAGCCTTTCAAATTACTAATATTGTTAACTTATGCCCCTCCCCTTTTCTATATACATTTGCATATGACCATGTAGACATACAGATACACAGAAATGTCTTTTTTACTCCTCTGGAACATAGAATAATATATCTAATTTAAATTTCTCTGTATTTTACTTTCTCACATTGTGAAAGTATTCCTAAATCAATTCATGTATTTGTAACCTGTTCCTTCAGCATGTATGTTTTACTTAGTACAGAATACCTTATTAAACATTCATTTCATTTCCATTACTCTTTGCCAGTATAAACTATACTGCAATAAATGTATTTTGTAATATTATTTTCTTTTTTTGTAATACTTGGGATCAAACTTAGGGTCTTCATACTGAGTACATTTCCAATCCTTTTTTATTTTTCATTTTGAGACAGTGACTTGGTAAATAGTAAATTGCCCAGAATGGCTCTAATTTGTTATCTTTCTACCTCAGCCTCTCAGAGTTCTGGGATCACAGACATGTACCACCACAGATTATTTGATATACTCTGATGTAGTTTACATACTTAGAGTGACTTAGACTAGAAGACATATTACAAACTACCCATTACTAGTTTTTTGCTTGTCTTACCTTTCTGTGGACTCTATCTTTTGAATCTTTGTCATCTCTACTCTGAGGAGAAGACATTTGCCTGAGAATCTCCTTTTTGCTAGGTGGGACTGATTCGCTGTCTTCACTTTCTAATTTAAACTTTCTCCAGTCATTTATTACTCCTTTGGGTCCTGGAATAAAATTTAATAAATCATTTTTCTTTTTGTTTCCGAAAGAATTTTTGCACAATTGAAATTTGTGTAAGTATTGCCACGAGAGATTTATCATCTCCCCCATAAGAAACAAACATTTTGTTTGAACTAGAAATTCTCTACTGTTCTCCTTGCAAAATTTTTCTCCAAAATTAATCTTGTGAAATGGGTTTTGGCAAAGAGTCTTTCTGAAACATTCGCATTAATTAAATTATAAATTATATACTCTGAACTATTGGCAAAAGTTTGGGGTAAAGATATTGAAGTTAGAATATACAGCAGAAACCAAAATTAGTAAAAATAGCACTTTCGTTATATAAGAAAGAAACTTACTAATAAACCAACATTGGCACTACACTATTAATGAAGGAAATTGGAACTGTTGGGGAAGCAATCATAGCAGTAGTGTGCAGAAGACAGACAATGAGAAGCCATGACCCCAATTAATAGATCTAAAGTGGCTTAAAGAAAATGATTCCATCTCTATCCAATTCCATCTGAGAGTCTAAAAATCTTTCGTTAATTCAGAAAAGATAACATTTATATATATTCAAGAAAAATTACAGTACAGCTCCAACTGAAATTCGAAAATTCATATGCTTGAAAAATAAAAGTGGTTAGAAGAAAATCTTAAATTCTTGAAAGCATACAATAGTAAACTAAATATCTCTTCCCAAAATTTCCCCACTTTTAACATTATATTCTATAATGTGGCAGTTAGGGTGGAGTTTCAGCTTGATTGACTTTGGGATCTGCCTGTAGGATTGGTGGAGCATATTTCTAAGTATATCTGCTAAGTCATAGAGGTGTGGCCTTGAGGTCTAGGTGTGGTCCCACATCTCTTCTGTTTTGGCACTGTTCCCTGGTATGCTTCCTTGCAGCCAGGAACTTAGCAACTTTGCTGTGCCTTACCCTTCTGCCTCGGACACAGCCAAATGTGTACTGAATATCCTGAAACCATGAGTTAAGTGAAACCCTTCCTTCTTTAAACTGTGGGTGGGGTACTGTGTGTCAGTGATGGGAAACTTGACTAATACAACCAGTATTCATTTTCTTTCTCATATTATCTAATATTTATTTATATAATATATGAGATATACTTTTAAGATAAATTTACTTTAACTTTATCTTAATTATATTTAGTCCATCAATGTTTTTTATTTTTTGTGCAGCCTTCATTTTCCAGATATTTTATGCATATATAAAATAAATATGTGGGTAAGAAAATATTTTTTTCTTTTGTTTTATTCAAATGGTGGACTATAACACACACTTTATTTGCTCTTCATAATATACCTTTGAAATTTTTCATACATAAAAATGATCTTTTTTTAAAAAATGGAAGCATAGTATTCTACTGTAGAGGTGTACATAATTTTTTTCTTTGGTACTGGGGATAGAACTCTTGACCTCACACTTGCCAGGCAGGCACTTGTGCCACTGAGCTAAACCCCAAGCCTTTTACATAATTTACTTTAACAGTTTCTTACAATTTTGCATTATTGTTTCCACACTTTTTATGTGACATGTGATGCTGAGTGAAGAGCTTTGCACATATTTTCTTTCCTATCTGCACATTTATGTATAATGATTATGTAAATAAAACTATCTAGTCAAGGGGCATTTAAATTCTATTTTTGATGTTTTTAGACTGGGTCTACAGAGTTTGTACCAATATATACTCCTGTCAGTGATGTTTGAGCATGTCTCATTCCAGAATTATGTTATTAAATAGTTTTATCCTTTAAAAATCTGTGAGAAAAAAACATATTTTACAAAAGTTCTGTGTCTTTTTTTATACCTCACCTCTGAGGTAAATAGCTCAGTTGATCTTTGCCCTTTATCTTGTTTGAGTTTGGGTTTTTTCTTTATTAATTTGTAGGAGCTTTTAATATATTAAAAGCCTTTGTTTATTGATTTGCAAATATTTTTGCAATTTGTTAATTTTTTGTTGTTTTAAAAAAATACTTGGATAACTTTTATCAGACAGCAGATATTTTATTTGTTTTTCATTTCCCTTATTTTCTTTCCGTCTTTTCTTCTCTTTTTGCTTCTATGACTTTATCAACTTTTCTCTCTGTTTTCTAATTTTAATTCATTATTAGATATTCCTCACATAGTCATTATATAATGAATTTTCATATATTTTGTTTAGGACTATTGTGAAATTAATTTAAACTCTTGGAATAAATTTAAAGGCTTCAATCCATATTGAGATACGAGGAATTGTTGGTCAAATAAGATTCAACAGCATTAAAACAAAATTGAATTTTAAAATTCAAATCATGACATTTAACTTTTAAGCTCTCAGTGCAATATAGACAACCACTTACAATTTAAAAGAGAGAATAGGCATTAGATGAAATGAAGTTTTAGGATTTCTGGAGAAAACTGAAATCCATTTGATTCAAGAATAATTTATCATTCTTTTTGTGTTTTCAGATTAAAAATAAAAAGACTACTTATTTACTTTTGGTCTACCGTTTTTACAGTGTACCAAAAAAAGTTCATTGGTTGGTGAGAGTATAAGTGGCTTATTTTTATCATAGATAGATAGATGGATCTTGTGATAATTGAGTAGCAAGAAATTATCATTAATTGTTTCATCTTTTGACATTACAATAAAACTATTTTATGAGTTATTTCAATTTTAATTAATTTGCACACTCAAATATTTTTAATTCTATCTTACCTATGGAAGCATGGCTTTAGTTTGATAATAAAAGTCACGAGTAAAAGCATTAGGCATTTCTAAATTTAATCTTAATTTTATAACTATTTTTTCTTCAAGCTTTACAACTATTTTTTTTTTTTTTTTTAGCTTTTCTTACCTGTATGTGTGGCCTGTCCTTCAAAATCTTCCTCAAAACTTTGACTTTTGGCTTCTTCCATTTTAGGGAATGAATACAATCTATAGAATGAAAACTGTTAAAAAAATAATTGAATTAGTATGTTCAAAGCACTTAGTTCTTTGCACATAGTAAGTGCTCTACATGTCTATTAAAGAAGTAACTTTTCAAATTTGCATGTGCAAACACCATATTATCTCACTAGTGTAAAAATGGAAAGAGTAAATAAGATCCAAAAGTTACTATTCAACTTTATAATATCTAATGAGATAGACAATTCTTTTTAAGGAAACAAGAGACATTGTTGATAACCATTGTTGATAACCTTGTACTCTGTTTTACATCATGTGCTATGTCTATCCTTGGTTTTGACTGACAGCTTTGTTTTGCCATATTTGACTTTATTCTCTCCCCCCCAAAAAAGTAATAAGAACTAAGGAGTAATAAAACCCAAAATGTGTAAATTTTGTTGTAAAAAAGAGAGGGAAAAAAAGAGCTCTAAAGAATACAACAGCAAGTGTGTTTAGGGGTGTTAAATAGCTGACCATATTAATGTTTTTGGTTGGATCATTGAACACAACTGTTTGCAGTCTCACTGTTTGAATGTCCACTTTGTGTGACTTGATACTGTGACTTGAGCAACTATCTCTAAGATGATAATATGTAATCTATTAACTGGTGATTTCTTACTTTTTTTTTTTTTGTAGTTCTGTATTACTTGTACCCTTACACTGCTTTGTTTTGTTTTGTGTTTTTCTCTTTTTCCTTTTAAATAAAATTTAAAAAAACAATACAAAGCCATGGAAAATAACAAGTAAGTCACTATGTCCCTAAATACCTAGAGACGGTAGTTTTTGAATGATATATTTGTGTTTTAGATTAACCCTTCTGCCTTTATACTGTATGTAACAGAAAAATCTTTTTATTTCAGTTAATTCCAAATGACTGATATTGACCTTTAGAAGTTAATATAAAATACAAAATGGCTTTATCTTCGTTGGGTCTTGCTAGTCATATAAATTGATTGAGAATTTATCATCAGTTCTGTATCTTTAGATTATTCACAAAAACAAATGTAATCAGAAAAACTCATTACTTATGTATAAAATAAAACTAGGAAATATTCCTATAGAACTGCTCTTACATGTGTGACAAAAACAAGGAAATATTACACTGTGAGATTTGTGTGGATATTTGTACGTGAGACAAGATTTTTCTTTTGTGAACTCATACCAACCCATTTAAGAGAGTTAATTTTGAAATCTAAAGAATGGTATTTTATTTTTTTTAAAGTAATCAGAATAGCAATTCTATAGCTTCAGAAATCTTTAACAAAAATTTCTAAAATTAAGGCTGTTTCTTAGGTTTGTTATTTTCTAGCCTAAGTTTTATACTAAGATATTCTTGCACATCTTTGAAAAATACATGCTTCAGTCTTTCAAAATTTCTACTATTTTTTTTAACGTTTTTTTTTCTTTTTCTCTGTACCAGGGATCAAACTCACGACCGCCTGCTTGCAAGGCAGGTGAGCTAAATCACCAGCCCCAATTTCTACTATTTTTATGTGACAAATATCACAAATAGCCAGGCATGAGGGCACACTCCTGTAATCCCAGCACTCAGGAGACTGAGACAGGATTGTTGCAAAATTCGAGACCAGCCTGGCCTGCAAAGTGAGCCCAAGACCAGTCTGAACCACATAGTGAGACACGGTCTCTAAAAGAAAAAAAAAAAAAAAAAAGAGAGAGAGAGAGAGAAAGAGAAAAACCCAAACCCAACCCACACAAATAGACATAGTTACCTGGTGTCTGTTACTGTGACTATAACACAATACCATACACTCTGTGGCTGTTTACAGTTTACATAGAAATTTGTCTTCTCACATTCTAGATCAAGATGCAGCAATGTCAGTTTTGGGGTGACAGCTTTTTTCCTGGCTTGCTGACCATCACTTTCTGATTGTGTTCTCACATGACAGAAGAAAAATAAGCTCCTTGGCATCTCTTATTGTAAGTATGCTAATCTTATACGATCAGGGCTATACCCTTATGGCTCATTTAGGCTTAATAACTTCTGTAAAGATCTTATCTCCAAATATATCATATGGTTGTTTAGAATTTCATCATATGAATTTTGTCTGGGAGGAACAATTCGGTCCAAAATTCTTGGCTGTCTTTTAAGAATAATTAAACTTTAGATGCTGGTTACAGTTTCTGTACTCTGGGCTTCCATAGCCACACTCTTTCCTTAGTTGCTAAAGCTTTGAAAGCCTCCGATTTTTCAAGGTTTCCACCCTATCATGTAAGAATTTTAGTGTGGGAAATAAAGCTTATCTAGGACTAATTATTATTTATACTCTTCGCTAGTTCTTTTTTTGATTTTGGACCCATATTCCTGGGATGCCACTCAAGAGTCTCACAAAAATATAGACCAGGATTCTCCTTTATATTAGATACTACAAATGCCTAATATTTCCTTGGTCAGTTCCTGAGTTATTATGTTCTAAGGAAGATGTTAGTGTTAACAAACTAATTGTAATAGAATCAAAAACATACTGTGTTGTGAGATGGTTGACACCAACAAAACTATTCAACAGGCTAATTCAATAATAACAGATTTCACCTTCACTGCAGATAGAAAGCAAAATTCTATGTCCTGATCTGTGCTCCATAAAGGTGTCTCACTGTATGCTGCTTACCTTTGTAGAGACGTTCTGCAGTTTTTCTCTTTTAGCTATCCATGTCCTTAGGTCTCTTGTGTTCCTGGTTTTTCCAAGGTGAATGTGAGTTAATCTGATCAACTAAGCCTGGTTAATATGCTCACCAATGAATGTGCTGATATAAATGTTTTGACAGTTGTCATGAATGTATTCCTCAATGACATACTCAACTTCTGTAGGAAGTAGTTCTTTTTCTTTTGCATTAGAATAAATTATCAGTAGTAGAAATGTCATATCACATGTATATGATAATACTATGTCATTTGATGGGAATACTTCTGGGCTGATGCAGACCTCCATTGTTTTTCATATCATAAAGATGGATCTAGTTATTTCATATTTTCTTTTTTTTCACTTTTCCTCTTTATTGATTTTAAGAATGAGAGATTCTATGAGTGAGGTATCCTTCAATTAATATCAGTAGAGGGGAGACCTTATGCATTTTATCTATTTATTTCTTAAATTACTCTTTAATAGATTTATTTATATTAATCTCAGAGGAATTACATTTCTTGTGTATAGAAACTATGCACTTGTGTGCTTCCAATTGATAGCATCTTGGACGCTTGGTTTCAAATCTAGTTCTGCCAACTATGAGCTGTATGATCTTGGGTAAATTACTGAAATTCTGCGCGCTAGTTTTTTATTTGTAACCTGGGAATAGTAATAGTATCTACTTAAAAAGGTTATAAGAGGATGAAATGAGAGAAATTATATATAGTATTTAGTACTAAGCACTTGATAGGTAAAAACTAATTTGATAATTAGTAAATAAAATGTAAAATACTGAAATCAAATGTTTAAAATTAATAATGCATCTAGTCCAACTAATGTAAATTTAAGAATCAATGCATACATACTCTGCTTATGTCTAATTACCTCTGGCACATTAAATAGTATGTACATAGTTGTATATTGTTTGTAGTCTCTTATTTCCTGACTGAAGTTTTTTTATTATAGTACATTGATTTACTTCTTATAAGAACTATTTTATGCAAGGCTTTTTAGAACATACACAATACAAAAAGAGATAAATTTGGAATTATGAAATTCAGGCTAATGAAACACATAAAATTGCTTTAAAATTATATTAAAAAGATTTTCTGAAGATGTTTGACCAAACAGGACATGGAAATGACTTAATTTGAATGTAACACACTTGTTTTATAAAGAATTGACTTTCCTACTCATGACTTTGCAAATTGTTAAGTGATTTTTCTATTTGATTCCCTTTTTAATTTGTGCCATAGTTCATTATTATGTATTTTTATGTCTCAGTTTTTCCTTTTATATTTTAAGGAAAAAAAGAACAAAAATTAGAAATCAAGCAAACAAACAAGCAACAAAAGCAAAACAACAACAACAAAATAGTGATACAGGATTTCAAAATAAAGTGATAGGAATTTAACAATGCTTGTTATACTACGTATTGTTATCTTCAAAATAGTTGCTCAGTTTTACCTTTCAGTTGTCTAATGAAGTAATAGCAGCAACATTCAGGATTCCTATTGCTACTTTATTCTCGCTGTTAATTTTGGGAAAGGTCATTTTTAAATAAACTCCCAGAATCATTAGTGGAATACAGTACTTAGTTTTCAAAATGACTCAAATAAATTTTTTAAAAAGCCATTTAAAGTATTAACATTTGGTAAGTGTCAATTTTCCTCCCACTTTATATAAAGAACACACCTTGATATTATTGAAAATATACTTAATTTAGGTTGTACTAGCCCCCTGAATTTAGCTAACGCTCATAAGAACTTTGACTGAAGAACTGTGATAATTTGATGTAAGATACTTCAGAGAATATGCAACGTTTTCATAGTTCTTATGCTACTCAAATAGTTTTTACTTTTTCAACAAACGAGGGTGAACAGGTGGAAGATGTAGGAAGCCATTTAAATAATTTACCTGTCAGAGATGCAGGGAAAGTAGCAATTTTTAAATTGTCATGTTTATCGTTAGTAAAAAATATTTAATTTGAGAAAATATGAGCCTTCAAAATTATAATGGGTTGTTGCTTCTATGAAAATCTATCCATGTTTGTTCTTATTACATCTACATATTATCTTACTTGCCCTGGAGAATATAGAAATGTCAGAATCTTGCAGGAAATTCAGAGCATTTATCTTTATTCTAAGTATCTCTTTAGCTTGTAAACATACTTATTCCAACATATACTGATTGAATTCCATTACAAATATTATCATTAATAATTCACGTATATTTTGAAAATAATATCAAATCCATTTATAATGCTTTACAGATCTTGTCATGATGAACAAATAATCTCCAAGTTTTTTTCTAGTTTTAATGCTAGGTGATTCTAAGTGGTATACACAATGGGCAAAATACATTTACTTAAAATGGATTCTACAGTTATTGTTATAGTACATGAAATAGTATCATTGAAAAACAATGGTAAAACTATGTTATAGTTGTTTTCATGATGCAAACTAAAATTTATTAACAATAATTAGCTTTATGTTAGGGAAATAGAAGAAAAAATAATTGAAAAATGTCACCCAATTTGACAAATAACAATAAACTCTCAGTATTCCTTTTCTTTTGAAAACATTTCTGTCTCATCAAATGACTAACGTAGTCTTTTGAAAGACATTACTTTTCCACTTTAAATTTTAATAAAGAATATAACCACCTAAAATGTACTATTAAATAAAGAGCTCCCCAAAATATAATTAGTTAAATATCCAATTCAGAGGTCTAGAATGCTTCAGAGCTGAATGCAATACTACCATTAACCTTGAGAGCCAAATTCTCAAACATAATGTGCAAGGAATCATTTCTTCTATTCAGTTCTCTGTTCGTTCAAAGTGAAAACTGATTAATTTCAAATTTCAAAATGAAACCGTTTATGGTCTTATTTTAATTGTCTAGAATGTCAAACTCAAAACTATGTGGTTTCTCTGAATTTTTATCACTGGAGATGACTAGTGTAAATCACTTTAAGAGGAAATACAGTATGTAATTGTCTTTATATAAAAACTAATACTTTATGTTTCTTTGAAATATTTTAGAAGAACACATACACTGAATACATACACTAAATGCTTAACATGAAATCATTATTCTTTTCCTTAAGTTAAAATTTTTAAAATTATCAAAAAGATTATGTATAGACTCACTGTTTAGGTTTCTGTGCCTGGTGTCCTTGATTATGTCCTGTGAGTGAAAATCCCTGATTACTAACTCTGGACAACTTTAAGCTCCGATTTAAAATCCCTAGATATTGATGACCCTTGCAGAAATAGCTCTGTGCATGTAATAGGATTGACATTGACATAAGAGAATTAACAAAACCTGTTCATTAATAGTAGCGCAAAAACAAATGCAAAGAGCTTGGAGACTTGTTTTTATTACAATCTTTGTCTGCCTCTTTTTATATTATTTCAGAAAAAATTTATGTTTAGATTTTTGGTAGTTATTCTTAGGAATTTGCTTGCCATTTTCTAAAAGAAAAAAGTCACATTTTTATCCAGCAATTTTTATTCATTTAACTATAAGAAATATCCTTCTCTATATCATTTGTTATGGTCTGTTTTCTCTCAAATTCAACAACTAGATAATTTCTTCTCTCTTTTTTTTTTACAAGGAAATGCATTTTATGTTTAAAATTTTTGTCATTAGAAGACAAATGCAAATGAAATTTACAGTATATACCACCTCACTACAATTATAATGATCGTTATCAAAAAATATTAAACAAAAATGACCACTGTTGGTAAGGATATAAAGAAAAGGGAACACTCACATATTGTTAGTAGACATCTGTATTAGTATGTCCATTATGGAAAACTCTATGGAAATCCCTCAATAAATTTAAATTAGAACTATCATGGCATATTCTCTTTTGCATATATCCAAACAGATCAGTACCTCAAAAATGAAAAAAATTCCCATGTGTATTACAATATTATTCACAATAGCCAAGATATGAAATTAATCAAAGTGTATATTAAAAGTTGAATGGATAAAGAAAATGCACTATACATATAAAATAGAATACTACTCACCCACAAAAGAATAAAACTTTGTAATTTTCAATAATATGACTGAATCTGAAAAAATTTAATGTTAATTGAAATGAGCCAGAAAGATAAGTACCGCATCATCTAATTCACTTATGGATCTAAACCTTTTCTTCCAGAAGCAGGAGAAAGGCAGATGGGAGGGAAAAATGAAGAGCAGTAGAAACTTAGTGCAAAGATATGAGTAATAAGATCCAGTGTTCTTTTGCATAGTAGTAGGACTATAGTTAACAATTTTTCAAAGTATATTCAAACAGTTTGAATATTATCACTGCAAAAATATTAAATATTTAAGGTTATGGTGTGTTAATGATTCTAATTTGACCATAACTCAACATATACATGTATAAAAACATTGTACCCCATAAATGCACACAATTTTATGTCTATCAAAAATAAAGAGATGCTTGTGAGAATAGGGATAAAATAAAACATTTATGCACTGAAAAGTACATATCAAAGGTAAGTGCATCAAATGGCATTAGTAGCATGCAGATCTTTTGCAAAATTTCTTACTGTAATATATAGCTTCTGTACCTATGATGATCAATTTTGCATGTTAGTTAGACTGGTTAAGGATCTCCAGCTAGGTAGTAAAACATATCTGATAGAAATGAAACTGTGCGACAGTACGGTGGAAGAGAGAAGGGAGGGAAATGAGACTTATAATCCCTCCTGTCTCTGCACTGATGTCTGAATTAGAGCAAATAGATAGCTATTCCAGCTTATGTAGGTGATTTTTAAATAATATTACCTTTAATCTTGAACACTGAAGCTTAATTGCAGTTTTCAGTTGCTTTTCCTTCTGAAGGTTTATAGTGACCATTGTAGCTTAAATGCTGCTTTAGAATTTAAATGCTGGCCTGTGGTTGTTTATTGGTCTGGGGAAGAATTAATGTAAGCACTGGAATTTAAATGCTATTTTGGAACTAATTTTCTCATCTCTATTATTTTCTGGTAGACTTAATAGGAGGACTATGACTTGATTAGTAATCTAAAGTTGCTTCTGGGCTACATGAGGACTTCAAAAAAGCACTTGAACTATGTGGGAGAGTGAGCTAGGGATTGGGCCTATAGGACCTGTGGGTCATGTTCTCTGTGGAGGAATTCACTATCCAGTCTCCTTAGCGTGATGATTCCACTGGTTGATACAAAGCACACTCACCAAGATCTGCATGCTTTTCATTGTTATACATGCCTCCACAGTTTATCTCCAATTGACCAGAGTTCCGACCCACCTGACACTTCTGGCCTTTCCTGAGAAATAGTACTGCAGTGAGTATTTTACAAAGATTCCTAGACCAGTCAGGAGATCAATCACCTACTTCTAATTTCTTCCTTCCAAAAATTGGATCCAGAGGAAATCTGAGAAAGTAGAATTTTGTTAATTTGGGGATGGAGAGACGTAGTCTAATAGGACAGTTCTTACCAAGTGGTGTCTTTCTTAATTATGTGAATTTGGAATTTTTTTCTGCTCCTCTAAGTTCTAGTGAATTCACAGGTATTATTTTTATCTGTAAATATTTGTTATTTGAGATTCAAAGGTTATAATGATCAGACCTCTCTTGCTAGGACAAAATACGTGACAACTGAAACTTTTTAAAGGAGAGGTTTATTTTTGCTCATGCTTTTAGAATTTTCAATTCATGGTTGCCTGGTTCCGAGTCTGAGATAGTATGATGAAATGACGTGGTAGAATAAAGTTGCTCACTTCATAGTAGCAAGGAAGAAGAGCCCAGAGGAAGAATGACAGAGAGGAAGAGAGTAGGGACAAGATATAGTCCCCAAGGTCATACTCCAGGGTGTGTCACTCTGACATACCCAGAAGGGGCGCCTTACTGATCTCTCAAGGCAATCAAGTTGACCATCACAGCGGGGTATGGAGCAATATGATGAATCTCTTACTTCACCATAGTGCTAACCTCACTCCACTGACTTTTATGTTTCTGACTTTAATTTTATAAGTCTAGGAGAAAGACTCCTGAATGATTATTTGCCTATAGTCAAAGTTACTTTAACTATTCGTGAATTCAATTATATCTGACTAATTCATGACTTCAATTACATCTGATTTAATTTGAAAATAACACATTCTGATACATTTGTTAGTTTCTTTTATTCAAACATCTGATTGGTAGATTGTAAATCCTGTAGTTTTCTCCTTGATTAGAAAGTTAGATATTTGTCATGGGAAGGAAAAATGTTTTCTTCTATAATTGATGGTAGGTCTTTTTACCAAGTTTGGACAAGTTAATTTAAATATGAAGGAGATAAGGTGTGGAATTCTTGATCCTATAACAATCTATGATTTATTATAAGAGGAAAATATTTTATCCTCTTGTCCAAATCTCATGGAAATGCCACCCCTGGTGCCTATTTATTTGTAACTTTTAAACATGCGTTTCTTAATAATATGAATACATTCTGAGAAATGCATTGTTAGGTGATTTCATCATTGCATGAACAACATAATATATACTTTTCCAGACTTAGAAAGTTTAGATTATTATGTATAATATAGAAGTACATAGCTGTTTCTCCTAGGCTATAAACTTATATAAGATGTTACTGTACTGAATACTGTATGTAATTGTAACACAGTGGTATCTATATGTAAATATATCTAAACATATACAAGATATACTAAAATACTAAATGATTGTATTTTTTTCAACTCCATCACAATGTTTTGAGATCATGCTCATATATGTGGTCTGTCACTGACTGATGCCTGTAAATCATTGTTCATATGGGCCTAATATACCAAAATAGCACTGGGATACTAATCAACTTGGACACTAAATTCTATGGGCAATAATAGTTGATTACATTCACTGTTTTGATTACACTTGTGTTTCTATTGTGTACCATTCCAAGCTCAAGAGTGTCAGGTATACTTCTCCTTTGGGTCCTTTATAAATTTAGTTTCTCTCTGTGGGAAGCTGGATAATGTAGTAGGCAATGTTAGAGCATTTGGTTGAAACTCACTGTGTTTGTCCCTGACCGTTTCATGCCTCTACCAAGCTCTCACCTCTAAAATTCAGCTCTGACCACTGCTTATTTATAGAAAGACCAACTAAAGTTGGAGGACAGGCAGTCATTGTTTGTGTATGTCAAAATGGAATGTGTTGTTATTATTTTCCTGGTGAACAGTTTTCTCTTTTTGAGTCAGGAATTTTTTAGATTCTGAAAGGTATTTTTGATATTTATGTCCTCATCAATAAATTAGTGCCTTGAAATTCTATGTTTAAAACAGTAAATGGATATAACAAGCCAAAATAACTATCAACTTTCTGTAGTTACCTCCCTCTTGTATATTTGGGTCAGAAAATGTTAGCTACTTGAGCTGTCTTGTGAGTATTTCCTTAACTCTGAACATGTTAGCAGGCCTTTAATCAGCCATAAGTTATTTTTAGTCCTGAGTTTCATTGTTAATTGTAGCCCCCTAGTGATAATATGTAGTTTTTCACAGGCCTGGAGCACTCACTGCTCAAATTTCTGCTGTTCTACCAGCTAGTAACTTAAACCTGCAAGGGACCATTAAAAATTATGGCGTGTGTATTTTTCCGGAATCACTACTTCCCCCAGTTTCAAAACTTTTACCAATGAAAAGTAATTGCAATTTGCCAAAAAGATGAATTTTGTCATACTTTATGACAGATCTATGGAGAACTAGAAACAAAGTTGTTTAGTGCACCGCAGTTGGCTATTAGCAACACAATTCTGGACTGAAATACTTTGTAAATTTTCTTGGCATCTAATTTTCTGAAAATTCTCTGAAAGCATGAAATATCCTGAGACTATCTGGATTGATTGTTTATTATTTAACACTTCAGAATTTCACAATACAGAGAATACAGAAACAGTGTTTTTTAATGTTCTTAGAAGTGTAGATAGTTGATAGATGGGTTACTTTAACTTTTGTCTGATAATATAGTATTAATGTTTTAGAGGAGCTGTTATTATTAATTATAATATTAATATTATTTATGACTGAGTAATACCCCATTGTATAAATGGGCATTTGGGTTGTTTCAAAGATTTAGCTATTACAAATTGTGCTACTATACCAGGGTGC